AAAACATGGAACAAACAGTATCTGCGATGTGTTTCGGTAAGATGCGCTGACAAGGTCATTGTGTTTTCAAAATGTAAATTATTCAGTGCCAAGCTGTGAAAAACCAACACAGGGATTCAAATGCAAGATAATCGCCATATGGGGGAGCCGATATCTGCCAGATGGTGTGTCATGTGACAGGGTATTATCCAATGACAGACAACGGTGGGATTTTGAAATCTACTGGATATGCAAGACGCAAGCACCAGGGCTAGCATTTTACAGGGCGCCTTTTTGAAGACAAGTACGGGATGGAAGATCCATCAGGACTCACTGCAGGTTATGGACGAGATTCAGTTGGTTTTAATCACCCTGAACCCCGACGGAACGGACACAAAACTAGGGCACATGGTCCTCGTTCTGTACAAGTCTACAAAACGGATTGGAGTGGAATGAGAAAACATCACGACCGTATATTTGTATCGGCGACCAAGACCGGGAGTCATATCGGTATCTGTATTCGCGAAACTGAGCGGATTACTTCTCCAATCTTCTTTCAAAGTAAACTCTACCTTTGCCTAACGACGTTGGATTCGGAATTCTAGACTTGGATACAGCGCAGAATCTTGAAGGAACTTTGCACGGACACAGTGACTTATCGCTCGAGCTCAGCCGGCTGCATCAGCGAGAACAAAGACTATACGACTTGGTCACTAGCCTGGTTTCCAGTCTACCGGGTATGAAGCGGCTTTCTTTGGGGATCCAGGACCTCTTCGCCGCCGGAGTAAGCCAGGCTCCCCGGTATGTTTCGCATCGATATCGTGCCGCTAAACTCTATCCAGGGAGCCTAACTTCAACAGGACGGCAGGCCCGAAGATAGCCCACCCAAACCACGACAGGACTGGACACCAAAATGCCACAAATACCTCTGACATACGCATAATAAACGGCAAGTAAATGCAACAAAATACGCCAACGTTACGCATACTTTATGGGTAATAAAGACGCAGTTTAAGCTGCTGAAAGTCAACTGAAAATCCAAGAAATAAGCACCATATACGCAACAAATGATTACCTTTACACACACGTATATTGGCCGTAAAAGTGCTTCAATTAGAAATAAACGTGAACTTTAAATACGTTATAAGAGCATTTTAAAAAGTATTTATGACAACTTTAAGCAGCTGAAAGGCTACGTGAAAACCGGAAATACGGATCCATCCGCACCTATCCGTCATCTTTACACACACTTATATGAGCCGTAATAAATGCTTAAAGAATGAAAATACGTCAACTTTACTTACAATTTAGAAATATTTTCATCATCATTTAAGACATCTTTAAGTGCTTAAAGGCTACGTGAAAACCGGAAAATAAGGATCCATCCGCACCTTTCCGTCAACTTTACACATACGTATATTATCCTTAAAAATGCTTAAATGATGAAAATACGTCAACTTTACTAACAATTTAAAAATATTTTCATTATTATTTAAGACATCTTTAAGTGCTTAAAGGCTACGTGAAAACCGGAAAATAAGGATCCATCCGCACCTATCCGTTATCTTTACACATACGTATGTTACCCTTAAAAATAGACTTAAACAATAAAAAAACGTTAACTTTACTTACAATTTAAAAATATTTTAATCATCATTTAAGACATCTTTAAGTGCTTAAAGGCTACGTGAAAACCGGAAAATAAGGATCCATCCGCACCTATCCGTCATCTTTACACATACGTATATCATCCTTAAAAATGCTTAAATAATAAAAATACGTCAACTTTACATACAATTTAAGACTATCTTTATCATTATTTAAGACATCTTTAAGTGCTTAAAGGCTACGTGAAAACCGGAAAATAAGGATCCATCCGCACCTACGGAAAGACCACGTAACGTCGATCTTTACGTACTCGTATAAAACGTGTATAGATGCGTAAAGACGGAATATACGTTGACTTTAAGCATAGTTTAAGCATCCGTAAATATCGTTTTTCGTGCCGTGCATCTTCTGTAGATTCTGGGTTCTTTGGTGGTATTCCCACATCTGTATACATAGGGTTTGGCTGTAAGGCAGCTAGCACTTCGTTATGTGATAAATTTCCCACTTTTAGGGATTGATTATTAGCCTGAGACTGATCTTGCTCTGTCTGATCATGGATACTGGCCATTTCTGTAGATGCTTCGTCCTTTGGTGGTGTTTTCACATCTGTATTTATAGGGTTTGGCTTTAAGGCAGCTAGCACCTCGTTATGTGATAAATTTCCCACTTTTAGAGATTGAATATTAGCCTGAGACTGATACTGCTCTGTCTGATCATGGATACTGGCCATTTCTCTAGATGCTTCGTCCTTTGGTGGTGTTTTCACATCGACATACATAGGGTTTGGCTGTAAGGCAGCTAGCACTTCGTTATGTGATAAATTTCCCACTTTTAGAGATTGAATATTAGCCTGAGACTGATGCAGATCCTGCTCTGTCTGATCATGGATACTGGCCATTTCTCTAGATGCTTCTTCCTTTGGTGGTGTTCTCACATCTACATACATAGGGTTTGGCTTTAAGGCAGCTAGCACTTCATTATGTGATAAATTTCCCACTTTTAAAGATTGATTATTAGCCTGAGACTGATTATGCTCTGTCTGATCATGGATACTGGCCAGTTCTGTAGATGCTTCGTCCTTTGGTGGTGTTTTCACATCGACCATAGGGTTTGGCTGTAAGGCAGCTAGCACTTCATTGAGGGTCTGCATGCTCTTTTCCGTAAGGCGAAGGCGGCCTCTTTATAATTTCCCGTAATTCGTAGGGAAGTCATTTTATTTACCGTTATTCGTAGTGAGGAGGCTAAAATTTAGCGTAAAACGTTGCCAGCCTTCCGGAAATTTAACGTAAGGCGTTGCGGGCCTCCATAAATTTAGCGTAAAGCGTAATCAGGACCCCCCATGCAGACCCTCTTCATTATGTGATAGATTTCCCACTTTTAGAGATTGAATATTAGCCTGAGACTGATCCTGCTCTGTCTGATCATGGATACTGGCCATTTCTCTAGATGCTTCGTCCTTTGGTGGTGTTCTCACATCGACATACATAGGGTTTGGCTTTAAGGCAGCTAGCACTTCGTTATGTGATAAATTTCCCACTTTTAGAGATTGATCATTAGCCTGAGACTGACCCTGCCCTGTCTGATCATGACCACTGGTCATTACTGTAGCTGTGGTGTTTGAGTTGGATCCAGTGTTGGCCTGAGACTGACCCTGCCCTGTCTGATCATGACCACTGGTCATTACTGTAGCTGTGGTGTTTGAGTTGGATCCAGTGTTGGCCTGAGACTGACCCTGTCTTGTGTTATCATGACCACTGGTCATTACAGTTGCTGTTTTGTACTGAGAATTTAGCTGCGAAGCAGTCGGCCCTGTGCCATAAGAAATATTTCTTTCATCCAAGGATTCAGCGATGGCCACATACTGACTCGGTCCTGTCTGATCATGACCACTCGTCATTACGGCAGCTGTGTTTGTGATGTTCTGAGACTGGGGTACAGCTTTGTATACACAATTGTGCTCTGACGCAGTCGGCTCTGTGCCATATAATAGATTTCTAGCATCCAATGATTCAGTCACGGCCTGGCACTGGCCTTGCCCTGTCTGATCATCACCACTGGTGCTTACAGTAGCAGTGGTGTTTGTATTGGATTCAACGATGGCCTGGGACTGGTCTTGCCCTGTATGATCATGACCACTTGCCATTGCGGTAGCTGTGGTGTTCATGTTTGATTCAGTGATGGCCTGAAACTGGGCCCGCCTTGTTTTAAGACGTGGGGCATCAATATCTTCATACTGATGTACACTGGTCTGAGACTGACCCTGTCCTGTCTCATCATGGCCACAGGTCATTACAGTAGCTTTGGTGTTAGTGCTGACTTTGACTACGTCCTGATACTGACCCTGCCCTTTATGATCATCAGCACTGGTTATTACAGTTTCTGTGGTGTTCGTGTTGGATTCAGTGATGGCCTGAGACTGACGTTGCCCTGTCTGATCATGACGGTTGTCAACTTGTTCAGACGGGTGGTCGTCATCACTGGCCGTTTCTGTAGCTGTAGTCTTGTTGCCGAAAACAGCATTGGGATTCGGCCCTAAAGGAGGATGCCTGGCCCTAGTCTTGTACCAAATTGTGATGCCAATCACGACAATGCCAGCAACTGAACCACAGACTGAGCTTATGAGAACAGGTAGGGGTAAACTGGCAGTATATTCTGGTTTGCCCGAAGTGATTGCAAGGGACGTAGTAAGTGTTGCTCTTGTTTTGCTCGTGTTTTCTGCAGGATTTGCTGTTGAGCCAGCATTGCGTTTAAAGAACCAGTGATAGCGATAGGTGCCGGCGGCACTGTAACATTTATTAGCACTTTCTAATGGGTTACCAAGGGGCTGTGTGGCAGATGTGGAGCCTACAGGATGTGCTGATGGGCTAGCATTGTTTTCTGTATTGCCAACTGAAGATGGTGACATTTCTGATTGGCTAACAAGGGGCTGTGTGACATATGTGAAGCCTACAGAACCCACTGTTGATCTGACATTGCTTTCTGTGTTGCCAACTGAAGATGGTGACATTTCTGATTGGCTAACAAGGGGCTGTGCGACAGATGTGAAGCCTACAGAACCCACTGTTGATCTGACATTGCTCTCTGTGTTGCCAACTGAAGTTGTTGACATTTCAGAGGAGGTATGGGTATCAACAGTTACATGTGGTGATGATATGGTGGGCTCTTCGCATTTCAATTCTTCAGGATTGACACGTGCAAGCGTCCTCCCCTTAAACTTGGCGGGTTGGTCACATATTAGCTTGTTTTTAAATTTATCTTTAAGACTGAAGAGCTCAGCCATCCTACAGTCACACTGCCAGGGGTTTCCGGCAAGTTCTATGGCCCACATAGATAGGAGCGAGCGGGGAATGGCCGACAGATTGTTGTTCTGAAGTTCCAAACGTACATGGTCTTGTAGTTGGGGTATATTTTCAAACGCATCAGAATGGATGGTAGTTATCTGGTTGGCGCCCAGGTCCAACTTTTGTAGCCTGGTTAGGTTTTGAAATGTGCCAGCTTCAATCTTTGTTATCTGGTTCCCCCAAAAATTTAATGTTTTTACCATGTGTAGGTTTCCTAAAGTGCCAGGCTGAATCTTTGTTATCTTGTTCATTGAAAGATCCAAAACTTCTAGCCGGGGTAGGTCAAATGTACCAGGCTGAATGCTTGCTATCAGGTTACTTTGGAGCATCAAAAAGCATAGTGCGGGTAGATCTGCAAATGTGGTAGGCTGAAGCATTGTTATGTCGTTGCGGGACAGATCTAAATATTCTAGTTTGGGTAAGCTTGATAATGCTGAAGGCCACAACCTTGCTATCCGGTTGCTGTCCAGGCACAACTTGCGCAAATCCTTATACCGCAACTCAGACTTTACAGCTGTAATAAGGTTATATGATAAATCCAAACAACGGATGTTTACATGGAGGTCCTGAGGGATACTGGTGAGGCGCCGTTTGCTTAAACTGATGCAACTTGATGATGGTTTACAGCTGCAGTCAGCTTCTGGATTGTTGGGCTCCTTCAGGATGATGAGAAGAAAAATCAGCACGTGTCGCAGTTTTCTCCCCATGGTGTCCAGTCACCTGGATAGAATAGCAAGCTCCTCAGTAAGGATACACAAACTTGCTAGCTTAGACCTGAAATTTCGAAGAAAAATGTTAGCTTAAATATAAACATTAAGTCAGAGAAGAGAGAAGTGTTGTTACACTCAAATTGTCCTTCAATGACTTTGTTTTCTTTTTCCATCTTGCTAAATCCTAAATTCCTCTAAAATATCAGAGAACAAGAAAGAAGTTGAAGTGGCCTTAGAAAACCATAACTAGGTGTCCTGTGTGACTGTGCTCTTTACCCCATTGTTTGCTGCTGTCTATGTAGGAATTTGGCATATCATAGAGAGAATATATACGCCCGCGCGGTCCCCGATTCATGTCCACGTTGGACTCACCCTTTGGCGGGCTTTTCAGCCGAATCATGACGTCGGCATAGCTAATGAGCAGCACCATGACGTCATGAGCACCGAAGCCTTCCGAAGACTACTTCGCTACCCCTGCGTTTTCCGACAATTTCCTTATTTGGGCGGCTGCCATGCGCAGACGTCGGCATCGCGCAGAGAAAAACATGGCGGACATTTTGATGTTTGTTTCATACGACAAACATGGATAAGTTTACAGCCGTTTTTGTCGACAAAAGGTAAAAAAAAAGTCCTAGGAGTAACAACTTCAGATCAGACGTACAATCCAGTCTCTGGTGGAGGATAGAGTGAAGTGGAGGATGGTTTTAAGTTTGGTTCGAGTGGGAACTCGACCAAAGTTCCACTTATCAAAGTAAAGTGAGTAAGTATGTCATCATAAAATTTATAATGCTGGGGAAAAACGGCTGATTCCTCCTATACGTGTATTTGGTATATTGCCCCACACCTCCTCCACCCATCCTGTAAATTTCACTACATGCATGTGTTTATATGATAGGGAAGTCTGTTTTTCTTATGATTGTGATGTAGATTGCTAGCTCCACCAAATGAAATAATATATATATTTCAGTCGTCGCCTTGGCAATGATTTTTTGTTGCCTTAGCCTTGTTTCACACATGAGTCGAACGTTGCTGAATAGGGACTAATTCTGAGCCCAGTCCTGTGTATACAAGTAATGTCCGTGTGTAATGTCCTTGGTCTAATAAAGGCCCAGTGGACTGTCCGACACAGGGAGGGTATTGTCGGTGTTATCATGACATAGGTTACGGCGTATTTTAGATTTGTCGCTGGTTGATGTGGACTCCCGGTTTTGAAAAAAACCGTGTCCCCAACTCCCTCATAATAGAGTCCGGCAGCCGCACCCAAAAATACAGAAAAAAACAGTCCGTAAACTACCCGGCAGGGCCCCTGTTTCAAGTTGTTATTGTATGGACCTGTTAATTGTCTGAGACTTGCTGCTTGAATATTGATGTTTTGTTCTCTTTCTCAGTATGGCCCTCTCTTCTTATGGCCCTCCCAGATAAGGAAATAAACAGTAGAAAATTAAAACCTCGTAAAAAAGGGTTCTTACTTCTGAAATATCATTAAAATAGCCATTGTAGGACTGTGTTTCTTAGTTACGTACACTCTTCTGAATAATGCAATTGTACAAAGTGTAGAGAGGCAAGCTGTGTTGTCGTGTTCATTTTGTAAAACCTTGTGTTGGCAAAATGATCGTAACATCAAGCCTTACAACATTTTAAACAGACTGTGGCTTAGCAAAGTGTTACTTATGATGGCTTATCTTTTAGGATGGATGAGAACTCGCAATTCAGCTTATGAGTTGAGAAGAGTTTGGAACGAAGAATAAACCAGTCTCTAAATCATTCTAGTCCGAACGTAATTTTTTTGCCAATAGTGCCACGTCACCAAGTAAAACAATCATGGGGCGTTTACCTTTGATAGAACTAACCTAAGTAAAAATGGAACAATCCTCTTAAAAACGTACCTATTTCTGAAATATCATTAAAATAGCCATTATAGGACTATAGTCCACTCAGTGAACCAGAGAAAAGCAAACGCGTTGGACAGGTGGCCTCCTTGAAGAGGGTTGACTCACAACATGAATATGACATAATCGTTTTAAGTCAGGGTGTTTTAATATTTATAAAATACTGTAAGTATACTGGCAGTAAGTAAAGTACCACCATTGTAAACTTTAACGTAAATTACAACCTCTGTAAAAGTACACACGCCGAAATTACGATCGTAAGCACAGCGTAATTTCGTTGGCCGAAATATTAAAAACATCCAGTTTCAGCTATTGTGTTCACGGGATATTCACTAGGATTCCTGGCACAAATGAAGCAGGCAACGCATGCTAAACGTGATTAGACAGATTTTAAAAATAGATCGCAAGCCGATCTTTTGGTATCTACGTAACAAATGTCAGTTACCGTGACAGCCAAAAAATCCACCGATTCTTTTTCCGTTTGAAATATAACTCACCCCAGACCAAATGAAAATAAATTATCCTCTGTATTTGAACAAAAATAATGATTTTTGAACGATTTTTACTCCGCCAGGCATTCGTCTAAAATATCGCGAAAGACCAGAAACATTTAACACAACTAACGCGTCGTCAAGACTAAGAATATATCCTCCTTGGTTACACAAGTTACTTTTTGGGCTACTTTTGTGTGGATACCGTGTTAGACATTTTAATTAAACAGATTTCGGCTCAGCAAAGTGTCATGATGGTTTATCTGTCATACTCGCAATTCAGCTTATGAGTTGCGAAGAGTTAATTTTTGGAAGGAATAATAAACCACCCTATACATAGTTTCTGTTTCGAGCGAAAATTTTGCCAATGGTGCCACGTCACCAAATAAAAAAAAATCATGGCACAGCTGACCTGCTATCCTTGTTAGAACTAACCTTATCCCAATAGATATTAGATAGATGGAATTGTTAAAATTTTCCGACGTGCTAACTTCTTTGACAGCTATCTACCGAGTCGGACAGTCCAAAAGACCACAAATCTCCCACCGCCATATCTACAATACATGGAGGATTAAAATATAATTGCCAGCCTATCCTATGGGCGTAGGCCAGTGACAAACCGCCTACAAGAAATTTATCCTGAATTGTGTATCCACTCGCAGACACATACCTTTCAAGTTGGTCAGAGTAGCTTCAGTTTAACAGGAGCTCG